GTAAAGCTCACATAGCGAGTGTGGACTACCTTGTCAAAGCAAACCAGGTTAAGCTGGCCACACATGTTGATCCTCTGAGGACTGATGCAGAAGATCCCGACCCGCTTCAGACGCCGCTGCGCGTACACAATGCCGGCTGTCATGGCTGCCGGTAAGGCCGGCGGAACGGTGATGGTGATGATGTCCAGAGACTCAATGATGATCGTTCTAGCTGAAACCTGCAAATGTTGGAGAAAGCCTTAAATAAAATTATCATAAAGTACAGCTTTTGTTTAATCAAATACATTCAGTGGGGGGTAGCCTCATCTTGCATGGCACTCTATTCAGATGTGACACCATCCTAGAGGGAGGCACGAACTGAACGGCTGCTGTCAAATCACAGATTACGCTACATTACAGATGATAAAGTTGGGCCTGTTTTTCAGTAGTTTGTCCTGTGTCTCTCCTAGACATAGCTATAGGCTCAGTTTTTCAGTTGGACATAGAAACTCACCAATAAAAAATGTTGCATAATTCTGCCTTGGATGACCCTACTAGGGGAATAGCTCCTAGGGTCATTGGTACACTCAAACACCTCCACCATGGTAAGACGGCAGCCCAGGGAAGGGTAAGGGGTCTTTGGGCTGCTCTTTGTCTGGTCCCTCACCTAGGACACCGAAGGCAGAAAGGTCCTAGGTGAGGGACCAGAAAAAGAGCAGCTAAAAGACCCCATATGTTGAGTACAATAAATGGACATAGTGCTGTCTTGCATGGACTCGAGTCACCAGGGCCTCACTCTGGTGCCAGTCCTGGAGATGGGGCACGCTGGCGAGTACCTGGTGGCTGGGGTTTCTCCCATGGAGCTCGGCCAGGCACAGCCCCAAAAGGAAACATGGGTCCTCCTTCCAATGGGCTCACCACTTGTCGGAGGGGCCATAGGGGTCGGATGCATTGGGTAATGTGTGGCAGTTGAGGGTGGGGAACTTGCTGTTCTAATACTCAGCTGAAGAAGCTGGTATTTGGGATGTGGAATGTCACACCTCTGGTGGGGAAGGAGCCTGAGCTAGACTTACATCAACGCATGGCTCTTGAACTAGTCTCCTTGAGAGAGTCTGGACATTACTCCACCCTGGAGTTGCCACTGGTGATAGACTCTGAGCAGGAGTGGGCATACTTGTTGTGGTTTACCCTGGTGAACAAGACGATGGCCTGTCTCCACAAAAGTTTTTGGGAACTGGTTCTGACTGTTGTTTGTGCTTATGCACCTAACAGCAGATCAGCTTACCCACCCTTTTTGGAGTCTTTAAGGGGAGTACTGCAAACACCCTTCCTGGGGACTCCCTTGTTCTTCTGGGGGACTTCAACGCTCACGTGGGCAATGACAGTGAGACATGGGAAAGCGTGGCTGGGAGGAATGGCCCACCTGACCTGAACTTGAGTGGTGTTGATTTTGGACTTCTTTGCTTATCATGGATTGTCCATAACAAACACCATGTTTAAGCATAAGGGTGTTCATATGTGCTCTTGTTATCAGGACACCCAAGGCCGTAGTTCAATGATCTAATTTTTATTGTTTCATATGACCTGCAACCGCTTGTATCGGACACGCAGGTACAGAGAGGGGTGGAGCTCTCCACTGACCACTACTTGGTGGTGAGCTGGTTCAGATGGTGGGGGAGTATACCAGTCAGACCTGGCAGGCCCAAACATATTGTGAGGGTTTGCTGGGAACATCTGCAGTCCCCCTTGAGACTGAGCTTTAACTCCCACCTCTGTGAGAACTCTGAACACATCCCAAGGGACTTAGACTTAGACAGACTTTATTGTCATTTTATACACACAGAGTGTATACAAAAATACATTTCGTTCAGATTCATATCATGAGTCTGAGTGGACCATGTTCCATGCCTCTATTGAGTCAGCCATTCAGAGTTGTGGCCGCTGGTGCCTGTCACGGCAGCAACCCTCTAACACACTGGTGGACAGCAGATGTGAGGGAAGCTGTCAAACTGAAGGAGTTCAATGGGGCTTTATTGGCCTGTGGGACTCCGGAAGCAGCTGTCTGATCTGTTTCATTATGCAGTAAAATGGATACGATGTGTAGAGACCTCTGGAGGAAACAGTTTGATCAATGTCTAGTAGTAAGTTCTCACTGACTTGTGTGTGTTTAGTTACTGTAAAACCATCCATCCATCCATTTTCTTAAGCTCTATCCGGGGCCAGGTCGCGGAGGCAGCAGTCTAAGCAAAGTTGCCCAGACTTCCTGATCCACACACACCTCCTCCAGCTGCTCTGAGGGGATCCCGAGGCGACACCAGGCCAGCTCAGAGACATAGTCCATCCACCAAGTCCTGGGCCTTCCACCAGGCCTCATTCCAATAGCACATACCTGGAACAACTCCCGAGGGAGGCAACCAGGAGGCATCAGGAACAGATGCCCGAGCCACCTCTGCCGGCTCCTTTGGACAAGGAGGAGCAATGACTCTACTCTGAGCACCTCCCGGTAACTGAGCTCCTCGCTCGATTTCAAAGGGTATACCTAGCCACCCTGCGAAGGAATGTCATTTTGGCCGCTTGTATTCACGATCTTGTCCTTTCAGTCATTGCCCAGATCCCATGACCATAGGTGAGGGTGGGAACGTAGATCGATCGGTAAATCGAGAGCTTTGCCCCCCTGACTCTGCTCCCTCTTCACCATGACAGTCCAATACAGGGATTCAAGTAATTCTGACACAGGGATTCTGATACAGTTCCAGTAAATCCCTGAAAAGATTATACTGGAATTTTTCATGAAGGACTCTACCCTTGAGATGCACTTGAACAGATTAAGTGTATATAAGCACCCTGTTCTGTAGAATATCCATAAATATCAATATTTTGTATCCTGATTCAATATACAAAAGCTTTTGTCTGTATTTTAGTATGAGGTAATGTGAAATGACGCTTTACCAGTTGTCTTGGTAAAACAAACAAATACTTCATGTCTCTGGAAATGGAGCATCAGAAACCTTGTTCATGATGCTGAGGACGATGGTGTAGATGAAGCCGATCCCTGCCACACCAACCAGACACAGCAGGAACAGGTATGCATCCCGGTACAGCTTAAAGTCTGTGGGTTTAGGGTAGAGGATAGATCGCACCAGCTGGCCCTTCTCAGTGCTGAACCCTGCAGGATTATCACACACTCGTTCAGATCACCTAGCCTTGTTTTTTAAGGTTGAACGTGCCCCGGTGTGTGTGGGCCATCGGTCTCACCTGTTCGGATTACAACAGCCTTCACCAACTCCCCGGCGTAGAAGCGGGTCTGGATCACATGGGTACCACAAAAAAGTGTGTGTCTCTTGTGTTCCTCCATGTTGTATCTCCTAGCTGCCTCGTCACCTGAACTGGGCAGACTGGTTTTGGTCACTGGGACGCTTTCGCCTATGGACAGAATTATGGGGAAACAACACACCCTTGAAATGAGATATGTTGTGAAATGCCACTCTATAATTAAACTGAATTGACAGAATGTCGGTAGTGGTCATCTAGTTTAACAATACCTCCAAAAAAGGGTTATTTGTCTGTCCCCTTTAACGACCCCCCTTTCGGACACTTAAGACAGGTATGGGGCATTGCAGGCTAGCAAAAGAAGCCAAACGACCCCCATTCCAAAGGGGGGGACCTGTTGGTACATTCCAATTTGCATGTTTTCAAAACAAAAACAAGGCTTTGTTGGGCTACTGTATAAAGCCTCAAACTCAACACTATTTCTGACATTTTAAATTAAAAAAGCTTCCTGGATGGGAAGAAAAACGTCTTCAAACTTGGAAACAAAGTCCAGTGGATTGGTTTTTGGTTTTTACGACTATTTACATATCATGCTAGCATCGTTCCTCGTCTCCTATCGGCAGCCCACAGTACTACAGCTCTCAAGGTGGGAATTACGCAAACAAAGCTCTTTTGATGCCATTTGTTGTTAATAAGCTGAATTTTGTGTTGTAAACAGGTGAAGAGATCTGTGAATTGCAAAGCCGGACATACCGGAAAACCCTCGAAATGAGTCAGCTGAAGCTCATGCGCTCTTTGTTATCAGAGAACTGAGCAACAGATGAACCGTGCCAAGCCCTACTGTTGAACTAGTACT